CTAGGCTCGTTGCAGGGGGCCCATGCCGGGCCAGCCATAGCCATGGGTCGAGGCTGGGAGGCTTTGTGGTGCAGAGCCCAGAGTGAGCCCACAGCAGCGCTGGGCTGGAAGGGCACAGCTGAGGCACCAGGGGCATCGCTCTGAGCCCTGGCACGGCCCCCTGCTCCAGCCCACCCCTCCCCATGCCCCACTCAGGCGTTCACTCCAGTCCCCCTCTGCTCCCAAGCGCAGCCACTGGGCCTCTCCCTGGTTCCCCGCAGGCAGCTCTGGGCCGTGGTGGGGCGGACGGTCTCTGCCAGCTCCTGGCTCACCTACCGGAGATGGGCCTGTGCCTGGTGGATGCGGGAGATGCTCAGCTTGTCCTTGAGGGGCTCCAGGCGGTGGACGAGGCCGGGGCCTGGGCTGGGGCAGAGCACAGACAGAGTTTGCCAGGGAACCATGTGTGGGGGGCCCTTTCCCAGAACTGTTAGGGGGGTAGGGAGCAGCACCTCCCGTGGGGGCAGGGCTGGCAGCTCTGGCTCATCCCCCCCAACCGGGGCAGGGGCATTCCACACGCTCACAGACCCAGGCCCTGGGCTGGGCCCCACAGCCAGCCCCTAGGAACCCCGCAGAGAGAGGCTCAGCCCTGGTGCAGGGCTGGGGGGCAGAGTTGCTGGCAGAGAGGGGTGGGAGGACGGGAAGGGGATAGCAGGACTTTGAGTCCCTGGGGAGGTGTCAGGGGCAGTTTGGGGCGGGAGATGTGCACACGTTCCCACTGTAACCAGAGCAGCAGGAGCTGGGGGTTCGGAAGGAACCAGTTTGCAGCGGCCTGTCATCATTAGGTTCCAGAGTTACCAGACAGTGGAGACGACTGGGGCGGAGCACTTGGGCGGGTGGCATCGTTGTGGTGCCCAGCTCCAGGAGAGCTCCAATGCAGGAGCCAGGGTCTGGCCTACACAGTGCTGGCCCCACACTGCCTGCACCACCCGTCCTCCGGCCACTTCCCCATGCCCCCGGAGCGCCCTGCTGCTGACCCACAGGAGGGAGGGCTTCCCGGGGGGCGTCAATTCGTGGGTGGCCCAGTTCCCATCTGTCCAGTGGAAACGAGCCCAGCCCTGCTCCCAGGGCGGAGGGTGACTGAGGGGCCCAGACACCACGGGATGGGGGCCAGCTAGGTAGACCATCTGTCCAGCTGAGGGGCAGACGCAGCGCTCGCTGTGCCCGGTGTGACGAACTGGGACTGTTCTTACTGTGATCTTTGAATGCTGACAGGGGAGTGTGGCTAGGATAGTCTGCATTGGGGGATGGGAGACTGGCCTTGAGGGAAGATACCTGAGCATGTAACATGAGAACCCAGGAAGGGGTTAGAGGCCAGGTGACACCTTGGCCCCGGGATACTGAACAAAGGCTGTGGGAGGGGTCGCTGAAGGCAGAGTTTTGGGAGCCGGCTAGGGACATAGCTGGGAGGGAGACGGGGCTCTGACCTCCCAGGGGGGCTGGGATGCCCGGGGACCCCAAGATGGACCTAACTGAGGGGTATCCTGTTGTCTGTGCCTGCAAGACCTGTCTTGGACTGTATTCCTGTCATCTAAATAAACCTTCTGCTTTACTGGCTGGCTGAGAGTCACGGTGGATCGCAGGAAGCCGGGGGTGCAGGGCCCTGAGTTCCCCCATACTCCGTGACACCCGGGCACAGACCCACCTGGTGCTGGTGCTCCCAGACAGGAACCCGTCCTGTCCTGCACGCTCCCCTCCAGCGTGCGGCCCCAGGGCAAAGCTGACCACGTGGGGGCTGTACTTAGCGATGGCCCCAGCTGTGTCCCTGTGGTGAGGAGGAGACGTGGCGTGAGCCCCCTGCCCTGGGTTGGGCCCTGGGGGGCTGGGCTGGGGAGCCCGGACCAGCCAGGAGCCATGGCTGGGCAGCCCATGGGGCGGGGGGGGCAGGTGGGCAGGAAGGGCTGGCATTAGGGATGCCCCCGAGCAGGGAGCCCAGGCTCCGGCCAGACATCGCCCGGGGCAGAGCGCCCAGCGCTGCTCATGCTGGCACCGTCCCAGCCTGGGGCTGTCAGGATCGAGGGGCACTGGCAGAGCCGGGGGAGGACAAAGCGCGCCCCGGCACAGGGAGCCAGCGGCAATGGAAAGGACCTGGCGCCCTGCTGCCTGGTGGGATCTTCAGTGCCCAGCCTGTGCCAGGGCAGCTCCCCACTCTGCCCCGGCCCCCTCACGCCTGGCCCAAGCAGAGTCTCCGGCGCTGCCGGGGGACTGGGCCGCCCCTGGTGCTGCACCTGGCTAATGTCCGGCTCCCAGAGCCCTGTGAAGTGCTGCCCACAGCGCAGCTGGCCCAGAGAGCGGCTCCGCTGGGCAGCTGCTGCGTCAGCTGTTCTGCAATCCCAGCCACAGGCAGGGAGAGGGGCTCAGCCAGCCGCGAGCGCAGCCATGCAGACAGGCACTGCCCCCCCGGCACTGCCAGGCAGCCAGGAATTCCAGCGGGGGGCGGGGGCCTCGTGCGTGGGTCCTCGGCTCCCCACACCCAGCAGGGCCCTTCCAGCAGCACCGACCCCTACAGCACAGCGGGGGCAGCGCAAGGGTGCCCCCCACATCGACTGGGGCATGCAGGTCCCTGTAGCTGGGCAGTGATCAGGAAGGGCTGGGGGCCCTGGGGAGGCTGGAGTGAGGTGACGGGGCTCCATTGCTGGGTACTGAGCAGAGACAATTCCCCCCCACACCCCACACTGGGGGAGTCTGACAAAGGGGGAATTGTCTGTAGTATTTTCATGAAGCGTCTGTGCGCCTCAGTTTCCCCTCTATTGTCAGCGTTACCGGGGCGGGGAGGGGGACAGGCAGACTGGAAGACAGAGATAGGGATGGCGCAGCTGGCAGAGCCAGGATGGGCCATGAAAAAGGACTGGGGGGGCCCAAGGGAGCTGGATTCCCCACCTCTCGGCAGGGAAGCTGAGCCCAGAACAAAGGACTGGTGGGGGAGGCTGAGGAAGGAGGCGGGGGCGCCTGGGGCTCAGACAGACACAGGGCGGCTGACCAATAAACCCACCTGGCTTGGCCCCGCTGCAGGCGCTGGGGGTGCGTTTGTCCCTGCGCCGGGCACCAGGCTCCCCCAGGGGCGTCTCGGGGCACGCGCCGGGCGCTGCTCACGGTGCGGAGCAGGAGGGGGCCCAGAGCTGTCTCGGAGGCGGTGGTGCTGGCCCTGGAGGCAGAACGGGGTCCCCTGGGGGTCTGGCGCACTGAAGGTTCCTCCCAGACACTGTTCCCAAGCGGGGGGCAGGGCACGATCCTGGGGGTTCGTGGCAGGACCCCCCCAGCCCAGGTACCTGCCCTCCTGGGACGCCTTCTGCTGGAGTCTGAGCAGCAGCAGACGGAGCTCGCGTCTCACCAGCTCCTTGAGGTGTGGGGGGGGCCGTCAGGAGAGCCCAGCCCCCGGCCCCCTGCGGGGGGCACTGATCCAGCCCGGTGCAGGCCGAGCGCTCCTCCCGCCACAGCTCCACCAGGGTCTCCACCTAGACAGCATGGGGCAGGAGAGGCGTTACCTGGGAACGCAGCCCCGAGCCCCACCCCAGCCCCATGGCATCGCACCGGGTCCGGCCCCACGGCGCAAGGGGGACTCTGCATGGAGGGGGAGGGGCAGGGATGAGGACACCCCTCCCACATGCACCTCACACACACAGGCAGACACCCCCCATCCCGTCCCCAGGCAGGAGCCCGCAGCAACATCCGCCCCAGGGCACCGTGACTCCACAGCCGGCAGCACTCGGGCTCCCGAAAAGGCCTGAAGCTGCTGCCCCCCGCCCTGCCCCCCAGCATCCCGCAGCCTGAGCGAGGAGCGTGACGAGCGAGCCAGGCCTCACGGGGCAGCCCCAGAGCGGGGGGAAGGGTCATGGGGCCCCCCTCGCTTCCCGATGGGGGGCGGGATGGATCCAGACATGCATCAGTCCCCTGGGGGAGGGGAGGGGCGGCCCCCCAGTTCTGAGGCCGTTGCCGTGTAGAAATGAGGGCAGGTCGCGGGGGGCAGGGGGGAGCGGGAAGGGCTGTGAAAGGAGCCGGGCTGCAGCTGTGGCGCTGCCCCAGGGCATCACAGCTCCGGCCAAGGGGCCTGAACGAGGGTGAAGGAGACACACACCCTGGGGGGGATTACATGGAACCCCTTCACCCAGGGCCCCGCCTGGGGCAGCAAGCGCAGAAGGGCGGGGGCCCTTGGGTGTGTGCCAGGCGCTGGGCGTGCTGGCAGCATCCTGGCGGGGGCCCGGAGGGGAGCACAGAGTGAAGGCTGACAGTCGCTTACATCCCACGTTCCCTGAGTGCGGGGGTTTCTGTTCGGGGCTGGACTCTCCCCGCAGGAGGGGAAGCATGACGCTTCTCCCCACCCAGCTCACCGGACAACAGCTGAGCCCAGCCCTTGGCATGGGACGAGGTCCCTCTGCAGGGGATCGGGGGGGGGGACCCACATCTGCGGAGGCCGGTAGCAGCGCCAGTGAAGGGCCAAGCCCGGCCCAGGAGGCTGCAGGAGAGCCCGGGCCTGGCTCTCCGCTGGGCAGGTCCTACCCCCCCCACACACCTGGCAGGGTTGGCCAGCCCAGCCCGTTCAATGCCAGGATCCTGCCTCGCCCCACAAGGCCCCCTTGCCCCACTGGGCCCCCCCCCAGCAGAGGAGCTGCCTGCACCCAGCCGGGAGGGGCGCTGGGCTGGCTCTGGGCGGCTAAACCCCAAGGGGAATGAACTGCTCCTGTGGGACAAGGGCACCGCCCTGGGTGGGGGGCAGCGGGAGGCCGGACCCCGGGCTGGCAGGGGTAGGGGGGCCCACCTCCGCGTGCAGCTCCAAGCTGCGCTCCACCACGTCCGCCCCCACGATGCTCTTCACCTCGGGCTTCTCGCCGGGCACCACCTGCTCCTCCACCAGCCTCCAGAGCGAGGGCAGCGGCTGCCAGGGCTCCCCGGGGCCGCCGGGGGCAGGGAACATGGGGGCAGCGCCCACTGCGGGGGAGGGGAGAGGGGGGTCAGGCTGGCTCAGCGCAGGCAGGCCCCTGTTCTTCGGCTGAGCCCCCCACCCTGCCCCCACCCCGTCTGCCCCCCACCACCTCCCACCCGTCTGCTGCCCCACAGCCCCAAACCCTCTCTGCGGCCCCACTACCCCCCACCCCATCTATCCCCCACTGCCCCCCACCCCGTCTGCCACCCCACAGCCCCAAACCGCATCTACCCCCCACCCT